CATTATATCGACATAAATTCAAATGAAGTGCAATTGAATACATACTTGCACTTGTTACTGCTCTCGGCTGCCGTGCACATAGGAGCGTAATGAATATGGAAGTACTCTTAAAAGTACATTAGTAAGATACAACAGAGTGTGCCCGCGATGAGTACATTATGAGAACTCTTTAGGAGTAGCCCAGGGGGACACGTCTGTTTGCTTAATGGTTTCTCTTTAAGGTGCAGTTAACTGAATTACTCTGTCTCTGTCTCTGTCTGTCTCTCTGTCTGTCTCTTTCTCTGTCTCTCTCTCTCTCTCTCTCTCTCTCTCCTCTCTCCTCTCTCTCTCTCTCTCTCTCTCTCTATATATATATATATATATACTATATATATATATTATATACTATTGACCCTCTCTTTATTCTGGCCTTCTCTCTGTCTTTCTGCCTACTCTCTTCATGGCTGTTTGTCATTTCGTCTGTCTGTTTATTTGACTATCTCTCCCTTTCTTTCCTTTCTTATCCCTTTCTCTTCTTCTCCACTTTCTCTCTTTCTTCTTCTCTTTCTGCCTTCCTTCCTTCCATCCTCCTCTCCCCTTCTCTCTTTTTTCCTTTCTTTTTCTTTCTCCTCCGCCCTCTCTCTCCCTCTCCCTCTCCTCTCTCTCCTCTCCTCTCCTTCTCCCTCCTCCCCTCTCTCTCCTCTCCCTCTTTCTCTCTCCTCCCCTTCCCCTCTCTCTCTCCCCTTTCCTTTCCCTCTCTCCTCTCTCTCTCTCTACTATATATATATATATATTATATATATTATATATACTATATATATAATATATACACCCCTCTCTATCTAAGAAAGGAATTAAAATGTTAGGGAAGGGAAAGGGGAGGGAGAGGGAATGTTGATAAGGAGAGGGAAAAGAGAGTAGAAAAAATGAAAGAAAATTACGGAGAAAGCAGAAGGGGAAAGAACATAGAAGGAAGGAAGAGGGGGAAAGAAAAGAAGAATAAGTGGAGAGGGAGAGGGGAAAGGGGAAATAAATAAGGTATGATGCGGAAAGCAGAGGAGGGGGAAGACTTAAGATTAGAGGAGAAGGCAGAGGCGAAGGAATTGAGGGGAAAGTGGAGAGGCGATAATAAGGGGAGGTTAGAGAGGAGTGAGAAGGAGAGAGAGAGAGGAGAGAGAGAGAGAGAGAGAGAGAGAGAGAGAGAGAGAGAGAGAGAGAGAGAGAGAGAGAGAGAGAGAGAGAGAGAGAGAGAGAGAGAGAGAGGAGAAAGGGAGAGAGGGGGGCGTGAGGGGAAAGAGAAAGACCCTGTAGAGAAGAGGGGAAACGGGAAAGAAACGGGATAAGAAGCACTGAAAGAAGGGAGAGGAAAAACAAGAAAATTTAAGATCACAAAGACGGGAGAACGAAGTGAGGCTAACTAGGAATATTGGATAAAGGTCAAAGAAGAGAAAAAAGAAAGGAAGAGGGGAGATACGGATAAAAGACGAAGAAGAAAAAGTAAGAAGCACAAATAACGTTAAGAGGACAAAAGCAAAGGGCAAAGACAGATATAGAGGAGAGAGGAGAGAGGGAGAGGAGGAGAGAGAGAGAGAAGAGAGGAGAGAGAGAGAGAGAGAGAGAGAGAGAGAGAGAGAGAGAGAGAGAGAGAGAGAGAGAGAGAGAGAGAGAGAGAGAATAGAGGGGGAGACAGATAGACAGACAGATAGATAAATAGATTGATAGATAGAGAGGGTTGTAAGAAATGTCAAAAGAGCGGCAGGGGAACAACATATGAAAAAAACAGAGGAGAAAAGAAGGAAAGAACTAAGGGAAAAAGAGAAGAAAAGAGATAATAATTCGGGAGAGAGAAAAAGAAGAAGAAACGAGAGGAGAAGCGAAAGAGAGAGGGGGAAAGAAAAGAAAGAAAAACGGATGAGAAAGCAGGCGAAAGAGGGAGGTAATGGCAATAATAAAAGACATTAGGGAGAGATCAGAGAGGAGAAAGAGAGAGCGATTGCGGGGAAAATAGGCGATATGAAGAAGAGGAAGAAACGAGAAGAAAGAGAATATGAAGCAGGAAAGAAAGGGAAGGGAGAAATAAAATTTAAGATAGATAGATAGACAGATAATAGATAGATACCGAAAGATAGATAGATAGATGGAAGATATAGATAGATAGATAGAGGGAGAGGGAGAGGGAGAGGGAGAGAGAGAGAGAGAGGGAGGAGAGAGAGAGAGAGAGAGAGAGAGAGAGAGGAGAGAGAGAGAGAGAGAGAGAGAGAGAGAGAGAGGGAGAGAAGAGAGAGAGAGAGAGAGAGAGAGAGAGAGAGAGAGAGAAGAGAGAGAGAGAGAGAGAGAGAGAGAGAGAGAGAGAGGAGAGAGAGAGAGAGAGAGAGAGAGAGAGAGAGAGAGAGAGAGAGAGAGAGAGAGAGAGAGAGAGAGAGAGAGAGAGAGAGAGAAGAGAAGAGAGAGAGAGAGAGAGAGAGAGAGAGAGGAGAGAGAGAGAGAGAGAGAGAGAGAGAGAGAGAGAGAGATTCAAGGATGCAAAGAAAATCGGAATAGGGTAACAAAGCGGGTTAAGAAAAAGGGAAGGGTGAGAGAAAAATGAAAGAATATTTAGAATAGACAGAGAGGAGACAACGAAGAGGGGGAAAAGACAAGGAATTAATAAAAGAACGCTAAATCGGAGATGCCAAGATGAAGGGAAAACGGAATAAAAAGAAAACGGATTAAGAAGCAGGGAAGAAAAAAGAGAGGGAGACAAAAAAAAAAAAAAAAAAAAAAAAAAAGAAGATAGCGACAAAAGGTCAAAGGGAGACAATTAAAAAGATATTAGGAAGGTCGAAGAGGAAAGAGCACGGGAGAGAAACAGACAGAAAAAAGTCATCATTGTCATCAGTGTTATCAAAGGGATTAGGATAATGTAAATAATAATGATAATGATAATGATGATAATTATGATAAAACGTGATAATATAATGATATACTACAGCTACTACAAAATAATGCAATGTTAATATGATGATGATTATGATTAACTATTATTTCCTCCAAAAAGGCTTAAATTAAATCTAGAATAAAAGGCTTAAACGAGAATAGATTGGAGTAATATTTCGATTATTAACACCAATAATCATCAATTTTTATCCTTATTATTACGTCTCAATACTAAATATTGAGCGCCTTCGTTCCTGTTATATGTTGCAAGAAATAATGAATGATCTTTTATTGATTACCTTCGATTATGGTAATGACATGCTAATGGAGTAATGATAATGACCTTTTACTTAAATGTGAATGAGGGTAATTAGTGGCTGTAGTCTGGCTGTTAGTGTTTCATGTTTTTTTTTTTTTTTTTTTTTTTTTTTTTTTTTTTTTTTTTTTTCTTTGTCACGGGGAAATCTAGAAGTAACTTTGCCTCTGCTGATAAGGATGATGATAATGGTAATGATGATAGTGGTGGTGGTGATGATGCTGAAGGGGAATGGTTATGATAATGGCAGTAATAGTGATGGTGGTAATGATAATGAGGCTAATGATAATCATTATAATGTTACAATTGTATAAACCTAAGATACTATTTAATGAGATCTGATTATAATTATGATAATGATTAGAATAAAATGTGATATAATAATGATAATAATAATGAAATAATAATGATAATGACAATGTATAATAAAATAATGATAATCGGAAATAATATGAACAATATCAATGATAATCCTAACAATACCAACAGTGGTAATAATGATAATAATTATTGCAACAATGCTATCTCCTCGACCCTAATTTCTTGTCCCCACCCCCCCAGCCTTCCGCCGCCATCCGTGCTCAACCTGGGGGAGAGGCCGCCCCCCGCCCGCGCAGGATCGGCCAAAGGATCCCGCCCCAAGCCCCGCGCAGGATCCACCTCCAGACGAAGGCGCCGACGTCCCAAGAAGGATTCTCAGACACGAAGGGCCAGGGGATTCGGACGCTTGGATGACGTCACACGGCTCTTTGGGCGCTGGTGACGTCACCGTGATTGATGACGTGTTCGGGGACGATGACGTGGGGTCATTTGAAGACGAATATTTGGAAGAGGAAGTTAATGGAACTGATGGCGTGTATTATGATATACCTTATGAGTACCTGGATGGTGACGTCACTTTAATCGATGACGTAGACACATACGACGACATTCACTGGACCGATGACGTAGACTACGACAATGACGTTACTCTGACCGATGACATGGACCAGGATTATGACGTCACACACACCGACGAACCAATCAGCGCCTGGAACGATGACGTCACATCACCCAACGGACCAATCAGCTCTCGAAACGATGACGACACATCCCCCGACGGACCAATCAGCGCCCGGGATCCCCCAACCGACGCCACAGCCTCCGACAGAGACCAAAGGGGCGCGGCGGTCCTTCTCTCCGGTCCGCGGGCGTCCAGCAACCACGTCATGGCCCTGTCGCACCAGCGGGCGGCGTGCATGTGGGCGGACCTGGGCCACTTCCTCGCCTCTTGTTCCGTGTTGCATAATCTCATTGCAATTTGCGAGTACACGCCCGAGGAAACCTGAGAGATGCGGGCGCCATGGTTAGTCGGGCTAGAACGACCGCCGTGCAATATTGGGGGATAAACAGCCGTTCAGTTCACCTCGAATCAGCGTCTTCGGTAATTAGGTTAAGATCAATTGGGAAACCGTATTAGCAGACTGATATATACGATCTTCGTGCGAATAGTGGATGCGAATTCTTAATGAGAGTCTTGGAAAATTTTTGGGTTGAAGGATCCGCCCAGAAAGACGATAATAAAAAAGTGTGTCCTTGTAAAAGCTAAAAAATCTAACGAAAAAAAAGTATATATAATTTTGCCTACCAAAAAAACAAGTAAAAATGAATTAAAATGAAATACAAATAGGCCTATTGCATAGCATGAAAATATCTAGCAAAACAGAAAGTCAAAGAAAAAAAGTGTATTATGATGTATGGATTGTCTATTAATGCTTTTATTAAACAGCATTGACATGTATTAACGTTG